TTTATAGAGAATTTTGCTGTGGACCTCCCAATTTATTTCTCTTGTCCAAACACAGATTTATCAATTTTAAGAGATTTTATGCTTAATTTTTCGCGATGAGAATATGATGAGAATTCATGCCAAAAAAAAAATTAATTGAAAAGTCAAGGGAAAGATCGGAAATTTTGGGCCGAAATTCTTGAAAAGTCTGGGGAATTAATATTCAAACCCCCGTTAAAAGTTCCTGAAAAGTCACGGAATTGTGAAATCTAAGGCAGTCTGTCATCCTCTATTAACTCTCTGACTTTCGCTTAGTCTGTGACGTTTATTAAAGTTCCTCTGCATCATAGATTTCTTCTTGGACCTTTAGATGATGTAAATGTTGAACCATATCACAGCTTAGAGGAGTTGATCATTAGTTGGCGCGAAGAACTCTCAAAAATTAACCTTTTGCGAACATTTCAAACTCAAAAGATAAATTTGGAACACGGGAATTTGAGAAAATCGCCTGTCAATTGCAAATTTTGGATTTTGATTTTGACACGATGTTCTTGAGAGTATCACAGAAAACATTCAGTCCTAAAAAGTGGCAATTTATCTTATTATCGACCAAAAATATGTTTTTTCGCTGCACCGAACAATTTGAATTTTCACCTTTAGGCAAGTTATGCGGGACTATATCACAATAACCATCCCTAAAAATTTGAAAGAGAAACAAGGAAGGAAACGTAGGGAAATCGGGCAGGGACTCCGTACCTTTTTGGATCCCTCGCGAAGTCGGAGGGATTCAGTTTTCGGCTCACGAGTTTCAAAACAGCCCGAAACATTAATTCCCGACCCCCAACCCTCCGTTTATTTCACTTTCAACTTTTTCGCGGAGTAATTTCCTATGTTTTCCGAGTTGACATTTCTTTGCGCTGCGAAACAGCGAGTTTGAAGCCTTGTTTCCTCTGTTAGAGTCTTGAGAGGAGTCTCATTCAACAGCGTGCAACCTTTGAAGTGGCCCACCACAGCGGAGCACCAATCAATTTTTAATCTCGCAGCAAAGGAGTCGGCATCTTGGACCCAAGCGATTTTCTTCTCTTGCGCGCTGCCAAGATCTGCCAGATAGTGCTGTAAAATCAGCGCCTTTTCTCATTTGAACCCATGTAAAGTTTCCACTTTTTATCGCATAACCTGGCAACGCGATGGCGGTGGTGCGGCGCGCGGCGCTGGGATATTTTCCACCCGTTCATAAGCTCGCTTCAGCGGAATCAGAAGTTGTTCCTTGTAGTCAAATTTATCTCACTAAACTAAAATCTTTTTTTGCTTATTCATTTCCCTCATTTTTCCGTAAGTTCTCCTCTTGTAGCTAAAGATAGGCTCTAAATCATAAGTAAAGGAAGAGATTTTTGTTTGCATCAACATGATATACAATCAGACATAATTTTAAAGGAAAAAGAAAGTAAGAAAAGAAATGTGAGTAACCGGAGGATATCGTCTAATTATCCTAGTATTTTGTTCGGTAATTGATTCTGCCAAAATAATAGTGGTCCTTAACTAACTGCCTTAACTAGTAACCTTTAACTAGAGAAGTTGACCCATTTTTCTTGTTAGCGTCTCAATGTCTTTTCTATCATTGTGTTTGACGCTCCTCCAAGCTGAATGTTTTTAAAATTCTAGTAACTTAACTTCAGGTTTAATTTTTTTTTCTCCATCTCGGAGAAACTTTTATTTCAAGAAAAACTTGCCTCATGTCAGTAACTCAATAAAAAATCACTTCTCGCTGAAAAACTATATTTCCTTTTGGTTGAATATGAAACCTGAATTGTGAGATTTTCAACCCAGTGAACTTCGATGCGTGGAAAATCAGTAAAGTGTTATCACCCACTTGGTAAAATCAGGAGAAAATCAAATACCTAAGCGCTTAAAAATAATATTCACAAAATAATCTGTACTAGTTTGGGGGAAGTATAGATCCGTTTTTGAACCTTAACCACCAAGTGACATTTGGTCGAAACTGAAGTGTTTTGATTATATTTTTATTTCCATTTTTTTCTTTGAGGCTATTTATAATAAAATTTTTTGCAATGCAAGGAAAAGTTAAAGAACTTTTTGACTTGTTTTTTTATTTTTTTTTTACAAGCAACCCGACTAAGACACGTCTATATTCATCGGATTATTCGTCAAAAATGTTCAACAGCGTGGCAACGGAGCTCTCCGGCATCAAAAAAAACGCGCCGTGGAAAGTGATTAAACTGAAAAAGTGGGATAAGAGAAAGAAAACTACTAATTCTCCTACTTTTTAATATTATTAAAAGTTGCAGAAAATGCAGCCATCCCCGCCGCGCCTGTTAAAAACATTTTCGTCGAGATAAGTTGGTCTTATAATCCTTTTTCTTTTCCCTCTTTGACTCGAGGAAGAAATTATAGAAGATGCTGAGGAGAAATTCAGCGGTGGCGGGGATGGAGGGGTTGTGGCGTTTCCAGCTGACTTTCCCACCGCTGCTTCGTTCGTGTTTTTTTTTTTTTTTATCGGCTCAGAGCCGTTGCTAAACATTTTAGATTAAGTTTCTTGCTTTTACGATAGTAGTTGCCGCCCCGTAACACTTCAACCTCGAACGTCAAATTTAAAATTTCGGGGACGGTGATCCGGGTGTTCGGAGGCTTCAAACGCCTCAAGATATCGTCACCTTCCAGGCAAAGTATCACAAGCGCCATGCGACGTTTAAACATTTCCGCCGCCATTATATTTTTTTACAGAGAAATTGTTGGTTGAATCTGTTTGGAAATTTCACTAAATTTTATCGGCAGCACAAAGAAAATTCAGTGAAATTTTCGGACAGCTTCGTTGAACAATTTCTCTGTAAAAAAATATAATGGCGGCGGAAATTTTTAAACGTCGCATGGCGCTTGTGATACTTTGCCTGGAAGGTGACGATATATCACCTATTAACAAAACAACAACCAAACTAACTTTAAGTTCTCTTATTATTAACTCATTTGCACATTATTGTGAATGATCCTCCTAAACGACGCAACGTTTGAGTCCTCAACTTATTTCCACTGACGCAGATAATTGAGGGACCTAGAGGACAAGGCTAGCGCATAAAGTGCAGTTTTTGCTACTTCAAGAAATGCGTGTTTTAAGTTTCAAAATAACACGGAGCTTTAAGGCGGAAAGATAGTTCTAACACACTTTTTGATGTATAAAAATTGAATTTAAGTCGTGAATTTTTCACAGAATTTATTTCAAAACCAATTTTTGTTGAAATCGTAAAGATCTCAGCATTTTTTTCCAAAACTGTGTTCATGCACCTTGTCCTTTAAGCTCCTCAATCCGACTCTCTTCCGCGGTGTTGGTTGGTGACCTGCTTTTACACTAGAGACAAAAAGAGATACTTCATCCCTACCTCGACAATGCCAGAAGCTTTTATCTTCGGGAATAGATAATTTACTGTTGGCCTACCTACTCGGTGGATGTTTGACAACGTGTTGAGTATTTCGTTTTGTGAAAAAGCCGGCGTTCGGTGAACTTTTCCGGTTCCATTACGTCACCCTAAGCTCATCATCCACCAGAAAGAAGTGCCGAATCCCCGATTGTAAAAGTTTCCACTCGTCGCTAAAATGTTAGTGGAGGGTCTCACTTTGTCTAAGGTTTTCTATGACTCTAAAATTCGGCTTCGGAAAAGTTCGGCTTTGGTTTATCTCATAAACGATGTAGGAAACGGCAGCGCAGCTTAAAAACTCCCGAAGCTTTCTTCCGCTGTTACTCGTTCTTTTTTCCCCGCCGCG